CGATTCAGGAGCGTGGGTAACGAGGGGGAATCGATTAAGTTGAATGCAAAAGAATAGATTTAATTAAGTTTATTACACATTATGAAAACCAAAAACATTTATATATAAAGTTAAGTATTTATGTAAATATCTTAATCTTGATTAAGTACAATATTAAGTGTGTGTGTGTGTGTGTGTGTGTGTGTGTGTATGGGTGTGGGTGTGTGTGTGTGTGTGTGTGTGTGTGTGTATGCGAGACGGAGAGAGTCTGGTCAGGATCAGGAGGATATCTCTCTCTGTAGAATTCTACGGGGATAGCGATAGGGTAATGGGTGAAAATGGGAGTAAAACAGGGGATGCAGGTGTCAGAAGGGGCAGTCTGGAGAAAAGCTTTGAGGGTAGGTATGTGAATAGGACCAGGCCCCAAGGTGAATTGGTCCGGGAGGATGGGATACGGGTACGGAGCATAGGTTGTACCGAAAATTACCGCGACGTTTCGATCGCTAAGATCGATGTCGGAAAAGACAGAGGGAGGAAGAACGGGAGGAGAGAAGAAATGAGAGTCGGGGAGGGTTGCATCGGGTGGAGAAGGAGAGGGTGATAGCGGCGGGAAATCAGACTGAAGGTCAAGTAGGAGTAACTGGGAGGAAGAGTTCCGGGAAGCAGGTATGGGGAGTAATTAGGGGAAGGAGTGCGAGGGAGCGGATGTGAGGAGTTTCGCGTGTCTCCTTGAAAATTATTTAGAAAAATCCGCGTAATAGGGAGATCCGTATTTATTTGACTTAAGTCTAGTGCAAATGAAGAGTCGGCCGCAGCCCGAGCCAGCAGTCGGCGGGTACGTCGATTACGGCGGTATCGAAATCGCTTAGCGGGCTCTAGCGGATTTCCTCGTGGGTTCCACTATAGAAACTATTATTATAAGTAAAGGAAGTAGACGGGGGAGGGGGAGGAACTTTGTAGATAAAAGAAAAGACTTACTATTTGCGAAAGGCGATTACAAATGGAGAATACAGTCGTAATGGCTGCTGGGCTCCCTTTTTGTGTCGAAGACAAGACGGTGTTCTGCGTTGACTCGTTATATATATATGTGTATAGCTGACAGGAACGACTGAATATTCGCACTGACTCTATATGAAGGTTGATATGTATGTCTCGAAACTTTTGAGATACTGAGTGCGTATATGAACGCGTGAGTGAATGAATAAATGATTAATGATGAATTAATGATTGACTGAACGAATTTTTCTTACCAGTGTTGTTCGAAGTTCGCGCTTATATATCGTTTTGGATTACCCTCTCCTAGCGTGAGGAATAAGGGAGGTTGACGAATAGAAATCTTTGTTAGATTTCCATGGCCTCCTCTCTGCCCCTACTTATGAGCATTTTAGTACAAATGTAGCAAATCAGAATTTTATTACATTCGTTCGCAAATAGGAGAGCATCTTCCAAAACGGGGGATTTAGGATTCTCAGTATCGCAGGTGGTAGTAATTTATGCTTTGCAGGATCCACAAGGGATGACTGTTACTACTCCCTTGCGATATCCGGTCACTCGCGTTTTATGATTAGTTTCCTTTATTTTCTATAGTTTCTTTAGATTTTATGAGTTTTTAAGAAAATATCAAATTTGTTTGACCGACTGCCACTTTATTTACCCGGATGCTACTTTTATAGCCCGTTAATATCCGATTGTTATTTTAGGGCATGTACTGAGAATTCCGCTTTAATTTAGCTATTATTAATGGCTCTGGAAATCGTGCACGTGTGCACCGGATACGGGAAAGAAAAGAATCGTAAACTCCCCTGGACGTAACAGAGGTAATCTTTTACGAATTTCTTCTGCTAATTTGCAATTAACAATTCCATATTTTTTCTTAGAAACAACTATGTGTTTTCTTTACACCAATTGATTCCTCTCATTATTTTGTACATAAAAGTATCAATGTAAGATAATCAAAAAATGAATGGTTTACTAGATATTTTATGGTTTATGTAAAATTAAGAAATTATTTCAAGCCTCATAACTCAAAAAGTACTTAATGAAAAGGTACTTAATTATAATGTTTTGGAAAGCTCTCGAGATAAGTTACAAGAATATTGTTACGCGCGCGCCCGAGTCGTCACGGCCCTGCCGTTGTCTGGATCCCGTCGGCAAAAAGATTATTTACAAACAACGACTGTCAGCTGAGTTCGGTTCCAGCTGTCTGGCTGCGCGGACGCGAATTTGCATTGAGCCGCTAATTTTGTGTTGAATCGTTTTGTGTTACTGTTTGTGTTGCCCTGTGTTGAGTATTAAAGCTTTTAGTTTCTTTTAGAAGTGTCTATTTATTTCGCGCGACTCGCGAGCGGCCGATCTTTTCGTGCGCGGCTTCGATATTTATCGAAGTCCTTGCCGCGGGCGGCAACATTTTGGGGGCTCGTCCGGCATCGGACGGACGAAACGGATAATTGTGAGAAAGTGACCGCGAGAAGTGACCGTGAAAGAGTGATGGTGACAATAGCCGCGAAGAGGAGAAGGAGGGAGCAGTCGGAGCCGCCCTCGGAGGGGCGGGCGACGGAATCGCGGGCGCCGGAGGCAGCGGCGACGGAGGCAGCGGCGACGGAGACGGCGGCGACGGAATCTTCCGCTCTGCTCACCGTCCTGCAGGAGATGCGGCGGATGCGCGAGGAACAAGCGCGACGCGAGGAGGAGATCGCCGCGATGCTGCGCCGTCACGACAAGGAGATCCAGCTTCTACGCGGGAGCCGGCTACAGCCTCCTCAGCTAAGTCCTTCCGAGTTTAGATCGGGGTCTCGGAAAAGTCGCGACGCGGAGACACGTAACGAGACCAGATATAAGTTGAAGCCGGATACCTTCGATGGGACAGTTTCGTTGCGGGAATTTTTCTCGCAGTTCTTCCTCATAGCGCGCGCGAACCGTTGCGACGACGCGACGAGGACTGTAGTGTTAGCGTCGTGTTTGAGAGGGAAGGCCCGCTCTGTTTTGAAGTCGATCGAGGATTTAGAGACCTGTACGTTTGAAGAACTAAAATCCAAGCTCGAATTGCGTTTCGGCGAGGGGCAATCTCAGAATTGCTATACGCAATTCACGAACCGAAAACAGAAATTCGGGGAGGATTTTGCAACTTTCGGTTCGGAGTTAGAGAGGCTCGCCCGTTTGGCCTACCCCGAATGTTCTTACGCGGTGCGGGATAAGATTGCTTGCGCACAATTTGTTTCGTCGCTTCTCGACGGATTCGTGAGGAGGACTCTTCAGCTAGAAGGAATATCTTCCCTGTAATTAGCTGTAGAAAAGGGGAAGGCCGTAAAGATAATCCAGGGGGAAAATTTTGAGAGGAAAAAGGATTACGAAAGGCAATTTGAAAAAGGAAAGGGGGACGCGCTAACTCATGAAAGAAAGAGTAAGGAGGAGGAAAACGGAAAGCAAAAGGGCACGAAAGAGTGTTGGCTTTGCGGGAAGGCTGGACATTACCGTGCAGATTGTCCCGAAAAAGAGGAAAACCCGTGATAGGAATTGAGATATTGTTTTTAAGTTTGTTGTTTTTAAGTTATTGTTTTTCTCAGTTATTGCGGTTTCTTGTTATTTCTTTTAACAGGTGAAGTGTTTTCTGAATGGAAAAGGAGAAGGAAAGCTGATGAGTCGTAAAATGGAGATTTAACAACGTGAACTCCCAAAGAGAAGACTGCCTCGTCCACGGTTTTTGAGCCGTGGTTTTCCCATGGGCCGGAGGGCGAATGCCGAGGCAGGGACTTGGGGAGTCCTTTTGGGACGACGGCTCCACGGTAGATACCTCCCTCTTGTCCGAAGAAAGTCACGGGAGGAGAAGGACCAAAAAGGACTCGCGCCGGGAACAGGAAGATGGCTGGAATGGGAGGCTGCCCTGGAGTCGGTTCTTGAGAGCCTAGCCAGCTCTCTGGAAGGGATTGGTTGGGAGCCTGCCCGGTGGATTGGGGTCTGATCAGAACGATGCTCGGTAACCGGGAGCAGCAGCTCAGGGAGAGCAGGATCGTTCGAGGTTCCTGGATGTCCACGATGGTCATTGAGCCCCTTACTGATTGTCGGGACGACAATCTTGAAGAGGAGGGGCAGTGTTACGCGCGCGCCCGAGTCATCACGGCCCTGCCGTTGTCTGGATCCCGTCGGCAAGAAGATTATTTACAAACAACGACTGTCAGCTGAGTTCGGTTCCAGCTGTCTGGCTGCGCGGACGCGAATTTGCATCGAGCCGCTAATTTTGTGTTGAATCGTTTTGTTACTGTTTGTGTTGCCCTGTGTTGAGTATTAAAGCTCTTAGTTTCTTTTAGAAATGTCTATTTATTTCGCGCGACTCGCGAGCGGCCGATCTTTTCGTGCGTGGCTTCGATATTTATCGAAGTCCTCACCGCGGGCGTAACAATATGTAATGAAAAATAGGGGGTTCCATTTAAGAAATTGAAGGTAACCTTTATGTGACCTTCAAATGACTATCCAAGGTTAAATTTTTGCCACCCATCTTCTGTCCCCCTCGAAGTCAAGCAACTTTTATTTGAAACATTTTGTTGTACATTTAAATATAAAAAAGTTATTGAGGTGGATAAATTAAAATGGTTCACGCTGTATATACAGGGTGCTAAAAAAGTATCGCAGTGCCGCCATACGCTCAGTGCCATCCGATAGAGAATGAGAATTTAAGAAAAAATGTCTAATACTATTTTTCGATCCCATGAATAATTTCGCCGCAATTAATTATTGTAATTAATTAATCAGCGCGGAGCTACAAGACGAAGCCAGGGGCTTGTAGCTCCGCGCTGATTAATTGATTACAATAATTAATTGCGGCGAAATTATTCATGGGATCGAAAAATACTATTATACATTTTTTTTTAAATTCTCCTTCTCTATCGGATGACACTAAGCGTATGCGATACTTTTTTAACACTCTGTATATATATATATATATATATATTGGGTCGTGAAGTATGAAATGGAGCAAAATTTTGATAAATAAAACTCGATTCTTTTCAAATAAAAACTTTGTATTTTTAATAAAAGTATGCACCCAGGTTATCGACACACTTTTGCCATTTCAACGGTAGCTCATTTATCCCTTTGCTGTAGAAGTCTGGCTCACGGGAGTCGATGAACTGTTGGAAGGCCGTTTTCACAGTCTCTGCGGAATTGAATTTTTTTCCCAACAAGAAGTTGTCCAAATTTCGAAAGAAGTGGTAGTCAGTAGGTGCAAGGTCTGGCGAATATGGTGGGTGACGGAGAGTCTCTAACTCCAACTGCTGTAGCTTTGCCACGGTCGTTCGTGCGGTGTGAGGTCGAGCGTTGTCGTGCAAGAGGATGGGAGCTGATCGATTGACCAATCTCGGCTGTTTAATCGCAAGATTTTGCATCATATCGTCTAGTTGGTTGCAGTAGACATCCGCCACGATCGATCTGCCAGGTTCCATGAAGCTATGGTGGATGACACCTGAGCCAGACCACCAAACAAAAATATGTAATTTGCAATTAACAATTCCATATTTTTTCTTAAAAACAACTGTATGTTTTCTTTACACCAATTGATTCCTCTCATTATTTTGTATATAAAAGTATGAAGGTAAGATAATCGAAAAATGAATGGTTTACTAAATATTTTATGGTTTATGTAAAATTAAGAAATTATTTCAAGCCTTATAACTCAAAAAGTACTTAATAAAAAGGTACTTAATTATAGTGTTTTGGAAAGCTCTCGAGATAATCTACAAGAATATGCAATGAAAATTAGGGGGTTCCATTTAAGAAATTGAAGGTAATCTTTATGTGACCTTCAAATGACTATTCAAGGTCAAATCTAAGGTCACCGTCGGATTGCCCGGGAAAAATCCTACAACTTTTGTCTAAGTCATTTTCCTCTGTGATGCGTATATTTCAAATTATCCAGCCGTCCCGGAACTTTTGACACACGCTGTATAATATTAGTCGATATTATCTTGCATTAAACATATGTGTGTGATTGCAGATAATATCGACTAACATTATATATTCTTATTACTATTCTTTGATTTTAAAAACATCTTGTCACATAATCTATAATTAGTAAATTAATTACTAGCTATAATGAATTACTAGTATGTATATGTATGTATATATACACACATGTGTATATACATATACTATGAATATATTTATATAAAATATGAATTGTATATGTAACTATATAAATTGCAGATAGATGGAAACATATATACATATGTATTTATATTTATTTATTTTATATATACATATGTATTTATATTTATTTATTTTATTTTATATTTTATATTATTTTTTATATTTTATATTATTCGATAATATTTCTAACGAAAGTAGTATTTAATAAATTCGTTAATAAATATTATGGATTTTTTATGATTAAATATTATGGTTTTTTTTATGATTAAATATTATGGTTTTTTTTTATAATTGAAGAAAAAAACGACCTTGAACCTGGTTGTACGGGCGGTGCACATATCCTGTTTGGGGGGGGGGGGATAAATACCGTCGCCGTTGACACTCTCGTACGCTGAAACGGTGACGAAAATCGCATCATGCGATTATGCTGTCGGCTCGAATTTGAAACCGAGTCCGTGTGGTGACAAACCCAATCCGTTACCCTGACGCCAAGATCGCAGTGTACTTTAATGTATTAAATGCGGATATTTATGTTACACTCCCAGACAGCACGTGGACGTCCAATGGATGTCCATCGAACGTCCACTTCTGGATATCTGGACGTCCATTGTAGGTCCAAAATAGATCCGATGAACATCTGATGGTCCATGGGATGTACGTTTTGCACAACTTTATACATCCATAGGATATCCACGCGGACCTATTTTGGACCTTTTTAGAACCTATTTTTGATCTTTTTGGACCTACTTTGGGACCTTTTAGAATCTATTTTGGTTCTTTTTCGGAACTTTTCCGGATCGATTTTGAACCTTTTTCGGATCTTTCTCAGGAGTGACCATTATACATATTTAATAGATAACATGTTTTTGTTTAATAAAAACACTGTAAATAATTGAAATGGCAATTTTGAAAGGCACTCTATTATAATTGAAATTACGCAATGTACTTATTATAATTAAAGTTGCAAACATCAGTCACGTAAACTTTGAAATAATACATTAAGATTAATAAATTGTGAACGAAACTAGGTGATCGTATATAAGGATTTGATCGAAAGTCACCGATTTCGTTTAAATAAATGCACTTATTATAAAGGACAAAAAAATTTAAAAATTAAATATTTGTTTATTTAGTAATTTGACTTACAATTTTTTATAAATTCGTAATTCGAAAGCCTCGAATAGAATCGATTTTAGTTTTATTTAAATTATTTATTAAATAAATTGTAAACATTTTTGTACATTTACCATTTCGAAACAAAACTATTTGAAAAATACATCTCCGATTTTTTTAACGCATTTGTAATCTGAGTATATATCAGTTTAAAAAAAACTATTATAACAATCATGTAAAATTTTCGGCAAAAAAAAATTGCATGTTTATGTCGTGGCAAAGTGTTGTAAACCTTGTATATTAGAATGTTAAAATGAAAATTCGATTCTATCGATACATAATATTGTCAAACTCGACTAGCAATAAGCAGAGAAGGAAAAGCTAACTTTTTGATCGACTTTTTAATTCTAAATATATACATGAACAACAATAACAGGTTGTTGCTGATGTACTGATTACTAATTATAGATTAGAAATAACTATTGTGACGATACTATAGTCACAAGACAAATACGACAAAGAATTCACAACGACAATTGAAAATCCAAATAGACATTTTATGGATCTAAATAGTAATTATCATTATTAATACTGTAACTAATAATAATTCTACTGGTACGTCGGTGCTAACTTAACTTAACATTGGAAATAAACTAAAAAAATAGTAAAAACGTAAAAACTCTTTGCGCCACTCTTTGCGTCGGTTGACTTCCTCCACTTCTTTTAATTCCGCATCTCGTCTTTCCTTTGCTCTCAGCAGCCACTTTTGGATTGCTTCTTCTAATAATTTTTTGTTATAATCCGGATTGTACTGTTCACTCGAAGCTATAATAAAAAATAACGGCTAATTAATACAAAATATTTAAATATTTAAATAGTATTATCTTACTTAACGTTCTTACCAATCAGCAATGCCGAAAATTTTCTTTTTTGCTTTTGTCCAAGCCAGCTATATTTTTCTCCGAACTCGTTAGTTAGTGTTCGTGTACAATCTCTTCTAATAAAATCGTACAGATTTTTTCCGCCAACTCGGGACATTTCAATGACCTGTTAAATAAATATGAATATTAAAATATGTACATTACATTTAATAAACATAACCAATATAATACATGTATATAGAATTTTATATAAATATACACAGTTCCATTTCTCGAGTCAACAAATTCAAAGTTCATAAAAAGTGAATAAAAGGAAGTGAAAAATCTCGATTGATAATTTCTAATTTGAATATTATATAATCTGTCATTGGAATGTGAGTAATTATTTCAATAATCATTTAAAATATTTTTCTGTTCGATTTTATGGCACTTCATATTTTTAAAGTTGAACTTATTTACGAAAATTTACAAATAGTTTTAAATTATTAATTAAATACTATAATTTTACATAAATGTAAACTATGTACCTTTCTGATAAAAGTTATACTTAAAATGACAATAGACTCAAAAATTATTATATTTTTTATATTGATAAGAAAGATATACATATGCATAATTCAAGATTACTAAGAAATTATACTTTTAAAAATAATAAATGGAATGTCATTTACCAACGTATTGAAATGCTGCGATTGTTTTAAAAATGATTCAACGTGCTTTTCCAAGTCATCCGTGGATGTAAATGGCAACTCAAAACAGGAAAATATGGATTCAACTGGATTTAAATTTTTCGGTGGCTGGATTTCTCATGTTACTTTTTAAATCGTTCAAGTTATCCTCCATTTGCCACAACTGTGTCTTAAAGTACGACTGCTGGCGAATGATTTCTTTGAAACACTGCAGAACTATTTTATGAACGAAAAGAAAAATTAAACTTTAAATATGTCATTCTAAATTTCAACGATTTCAGACCATATTATATCAATATTAAGACATGTAAGTGAATTTTAAAAAATATTTACAGAGTGCTTACAGAGGAATGAAAAATTAGTACGTATTGATGAAAAGAATGTATATACGAACCATTTGTATTATGATTATGCGCAGGGCAAATATAACATCCACAATCATCGTCTGTTGTTTTAGCAATAATCTCGTCAAGGGTAGAAAACGACTCGTTATTATTGGTAGATTCAGGAGCTAATTTTTCATGACGGTCGTTGTGTTTTTCATTTCCGCGGGACACGCTAGTTTTTGATAATTTTGTCGACTTATTATTGTTAACATTGTCTAAATGCTTATCAGTTAAATTTTTTGTGAATTTAAGTGATATCTTGGGTATTTCAGAGACTGATTTTTCGTTACAGTCATTGCTTTTTCATTTTCGCGGAATACTCTTGTATTTGACGATCCTATAAAATAATAATAGTAATTGTTAAATAATTGGAAATATATGGTGGGTTTTTTAAAGTAGAAATAATAACTACAAAAAATCATTAATATTGAAACTCACGTTGCATAAGCGGAGGCGTTGGCAATTCGGTAAACTCATCCTCATTATTAATCAATTCTTCTGACGATGAATCATGCTGCTTAAATTTTTTAAATTTTTTCTTTATGCCATCCCTCTTATTATTATTATCCGTATCGCTATTTAATTCTGTTCAAAAATTAAAATAATCATTCTAGTTTAAAAATCGCATAGCGAAATTCGTATGTTTTCGCTAATAAATAATCGAGAATTTAAAATTAACGGGCGTCAAGAATCTTCTCGAATTGTCTATTTATTAGAAAAACTCGAACGCTCGAGTTATCTCGCTTTTTTGCCACCGGAAAAAACGTTCATCATCACCGCAGACAATATTATTGTCAACCGCCGTTGAAATTTACGCCGCTCATGGGCATGCGCGCCCATGCGTCACGATCAGCTGATCGCCAATCAAAGATTGCGCGCATGGAAAATAAATGATATCCGACGTGAGACGTCATCAACAACCAATGACACACGCCGCAATAATGTCACCGCTAAAATATTGAATTAATTGGTCCACGTCGAAGCGGGCCCAAAAATCCGCTCGCTTTATAATGGGCACCGCGCGTGGACCAGCTAAGTCTCGCACTTATCGCTACTCGCAGTATTTCTTCCGCTTCGCTTTGCAAAACCGCTTTGTCTAACCGCTATTATAACGACCGCTTTCTCACTCGGACTTTCACAATTTCGGCTTCGGAACTAGCTTCTGTACCTGAAATATTTGTACTCATTTTTATTTGTGTAAATTTTTATTAATTGTGTGGTGTCAAAATAAAACTGAAAAAACCAAAAAGAATTACGTGTCGTGTTAAGTTTTTGTTGCATTAAATATTCTGTTCGTGGCCATCCGTCTGCCGCTTTCTCCAAACTTTGCGCTGTCACAGCAATCCGCGCTAACTCGCGAACAAATTCTAACGTATATTCCGCCTTTTTTGCCTTCTCTCTGGCTTTAGAGTAGCTGTCTGAAAATATATAAATAAAAATATTTGTATAACTGAAAAGAAAAAGTACACAAACGAATGATATTAGTATAAAAGTTATATTAATTTAAATATTAATTAGTATTAACCATAATTGACGTTTCGAAATGGGATCACGTCATACAAAGGCCAGCATTTTTATTGGGATTTTCATATTTACGAATTGCTGCCATCATTTTGTCTGATTGAAACGGTGGCCAATAACATTTATTGTTAATGATCCAAGTAGACGAAACCGCTTCGACAGTATCCCCCGATGTAAATCGATAACCGACCATACCTATATAACATTAGATGTTCTATGAATATACATCTTACTTCCATGATGTGAAAATAACATCCTGTACGTTGAATGTTTATACATTTCATATACATGATTTGAATGTACATTACAATATATAATATGTATATTCGTTGATGTATTTTATATGTACTGTGATGTGGCCGTCTCGTGCGCGTACATCCGCCCCGACCATTTTGGCGGGACGAAAGTCGAGCGGCCGCGCCAGAGACCAGAGCGAGAGAACGGTATCAAGCTCCCCGGAGAGACGAGTCGTATTGTAATCATAGACGCATTTTATTAATTTGATCTGTATTTTTCTTGTAATGTACGACATCGGGCAACCCGCCGAAGGAGAAATCGGAAGGAAACAGCGAGGGATTTTGTACGACAGCCGACGACACCACGCTCCACGACAGCGAGCCAAGAGGAACGTCGCGCCCCATCGACGTTGTGGTGGAATTTTCGCCCCACGGCACATCAAGAGGGATGGAAGTCCGACCCGTCCTAACCCCCCCCCCCCGTAAAAGGGAGAGGTAACGACAACCGAGCCTCCACCGGGCCCTCATCAATGGGCCCGTGACAGTCGAATCGTCACCGGGCCCTTATCGATGGGCCCGCGACAGCGGAAAATTTAAATTAAATTATTTTGGCGCGAGGCGCTAGGGTCTTTCGCGTGCCGCGAGCCGATTGGCCACGGGGCTGCGCACCCCACCAAGCGGTCATTGACGCCGCTATCGACCCCGGGCAGCGAAATCCCAGGGATCACTCTTGGACGGGCGCTCGACTGAGTCAGTAACTTGTTTCGTATACGGTTGTCGTTGTCGATTAATTAGTGATTGTCGCTGTCGAGAGACGAGAAGAGGACGGAGCCGGGGATCACCCCCCTTTTCG